CCCAGACCATCTAAGAAGCAGGGGTGCTTCTAAGAAGCCTTCCCCCCTCCCCTACCCCCCTTCTGCGCGTGGCCGACAAGACGAGAGAAAACTGTTTAACGCAACAGCATGCAGCTCTGGACGAAGGTCTGCCCCGCTGGCGCCAGCTGTCAGCACAAGGGGGGCGGGACGCAGGCCCGCCGAGGTGGCCGCGGCCCAGGATCTGCCCCGCACGCCGACGCGCGCGAGGACGGCAGACCCCAGCCCTGAGCCACAGGACTGCACCCGCGACATGGGACGCACAGAGGCATACTAAGATTGTATGACTTCCTTGGAGGCGCGCGTCCAAGCCGAGCATATAGTACACCCATCTTGTAGTAGATCGTTATCCAAGCGGTGTGGCCAGAGAGCGCCCGCCACGACGCATAGACTATAAGATTTCTCCGGTCGCGCGCCGCCCCTGGGGAGGCGACGCACATATATAGTATAAGTATGTTGGGGTGACGCCGAACAGTCGGCGGGGAGCGAGGGGGGGAAGCGAGAGGGAGAAAGCCTCATCTCGGAAGGCGGCGGGGCTTCTCGGACGGCCTTCTGAGAGGCTCTCTGACTACCTACCAGACCACCCCAACCCAACCCGAAGACCCGAATTTCGGGTTGGGAGGGGTACGGGTTTCATATGTGTTTTCTCAACATTCCCCGACCCCTCCCCCCCACTGAAAATGGAGGCAATTTGGAGCCTTCGGATTGGGTTGGGGTGGTTTGGTGGGTGGTGACTCTCTGTGCCCTAGGGAAAGGTTCGGGAGACTTCCCAAGGGACCCGGGGGACTTCCGAGCCTTCCGAGAAGGCTCGCCCCCTCTCACTGCCGCCAAGGGCTCGCCGCCGAGGCTGGGCACGCCAGCAGGCACGCCAGGCTCACGGGCCATGCAGCCCCGACAGAGCACGCCACAGCCGCGGCCTACTCGCCTACTCGGACGCGGCCCGACCGACCCCTGGCAAGCCATCCCCTTCCGTGACGTCGCCTTCGCCTTCCAAGCTTCCCTCTGTCCTCCTCCTCCCTCCTCCTCTCCTCCTCCTCCTCCTCCCCTCCTCCTCCTCCCCTCCTCTCCTCCCTCCTCCTCCTCCTCCTCCTCCTCACTCCTCTCCTCCTCCTCCTCCTCCTCCTCCTCCTCCTCCTCCTCCTCCTCCTCCCTCCTCCTCCTCCTCCTCCTCCTCCTCCTCCTCCTCCTTCTCTCGCCTTTCAAGCTTCCCTCTGGCTGCAAGCATACGCCTTGGGGCCAGGCGAGGGGCACGTCACGGAAGGGGAGGGCTTGCTCGAGGTCGCTGAAGCCGCGCCTGAACTCCCGGGCGGAGCGGGCCAGGGAGGCGGCCGGCCTCGCAAGCAGCCGCGCACGGCGCCAGCCTCGAGGGAAGCGAGCGGACCGAGCCCCGTGGCGGACTTAGGCGCGCAGAGATGGCCCCGGGCGCGCGACGCGCCCAGGCGCCCGAGGCCAGGTCGCGCCGCGCCCGCCACGCCCAGCGCCGCCACTGCGCCAGAGCTCTGGCGGCACCCATCATGACGGCCACGACGACGACGACGACGACGACGACGACGACGACGACGACGACGCCGACGGGGAGACGGGGAGAAAACGGGGGGGGGGGGGGGGGCAGAGGTGGAGAAGGCCATGACTCCAGATCCGCCGTACTTCGGGTGATTCCGCAAGTGGGGCGAACATTTCAGCCCTACTTTTCCGTCGCTGTTTCCGCCACACCTGTGCGGAGCTATCCGCCCTACTTTTCCGAGGCGGTAAACTCCGCCCCTCTGATTCGCACCGCTTGGTGTGCAACTCCGACGCAATTCCGAGCCGGAAGATCGACCAAAAAGCAGGGCGGATCCAGAGTCAGGGGGAGAAGGACTCGGAGTCGGCCTTGCCACAGACGGGCTGGCGGGGGCCTGGCAAGTTGGCACCGTGGCGCCGCCTGCACGGTCCACTGCTGAGCATTCCCCCAATGTGCAACTGCACCGGGGCAGCTATCTCCGCGCTCCGCGCTCCGCGCCGCGCAAAGCGCGACCATCTTCGCGCTTTCGCGCCGCCGCCCCCCCGGAGCAGGATACGAAGGACCCACTCCTCGCCCTGAGGTCGCCCAGACCGCGAAGCGCGGAGTACGACCAACTCCGCACCCCCGTGGTGGCCCTACGGTCGACACACGGGTTGGTTCGGGCATGTCCCCCTGCAGGCGCATTGTGGGCGAACAATCAAAAAGACTCCAAAATACACCACACCCGAATGATCAAAAATTATGCTAACGGAGTTCCCCACATAAAGAGATTAACGGTTTCGTGGGACCCATTTTCTTGATGCCCTCCTCGCGACGCTGGAGGGGTGGGAGGGGCACGAAACCATGTAAATAGTATGGTTTTCCGATACCCTCCTCGCTCAGGCGGGGCCTCCCTGGAGGGGTGGGAGGGGCACGAAACCATGTAAATAGTATGGTTTTCGGATACCCTCCTCGCTCAGGCGGAGCCTCCCTGGAGGGGTGGGAGGGGCACGAAACCATGTAAATAGTATGGTATTCCGATACCCTCCTCGCTCAGGCGGGGCCTCCCTGGAGGGGTGGGAGGGGCACGAAACCATGTAAATAGTATGGTATTCCGATACCCTCCTCGCTCAGGCGGGGCCTCCCTGGAGGGGTGGGAGGGGCACGAAACCATGTAAATAGTATGGTATTCCGATACCCTCCTCGCTCAGGCGGGGCCTCCCTGGAGGGGTGGGAGGGGCACGAAACCATGTAAATAGTATGGTATTCCGATACCCTCCTCGCTCAGGCGGGGCCTCCCTGGAGGGGTGGGAGGGGCACGAAACCATGTAAATAGTATGGTATTCCGATACCCTCCTCGCTCAGGCGGGGCCTCCCTGGAGGGGTGGGAGGGGCACGAAACCATGTAAATAGTATGGTATTCCGATACCCTCCTCGCTCAGGCGGGGCCTCCCTGGAGGGGTGGGAGGGGCACGAAACCATGTAAATAGTATGGTATTCCGATACCCTCCTCGCTCAGGCGGGGCCTCCCTGGAGGGGTGGGAGGGGCACGAAACCATGTAAATAGTATGGTATTCCGATACCCTCCTCGCTCAGGCGGGGCCTCCCTGGAGGGGTGGGAGGGGCACGCAATGGTATGGTATGGTACGGTATGGTACGTATGGTGTGGTATGGTATGGTATGGTATGGTATGGTATGTGTGGTAGGAACTATGGTATGGTATGGTGTGTGTGGTAGGAATGTGGGAGGGGCACGCAATGGTATGGTATGGTACGGTATGGTACGTATGGTGTGGTATGGTATGGTATGGTATGGCATGGTATGTGTGGTAGGAACTATGGTATGGTATGGTGTGTGTGGTAGGAATAATATTGTGCTGTATGGAAGATGGAGCGGGAGGTGGGTGGGAAGGAGAGGGTGTTCTGGGAAAACAAGAACCCCACTCAGGATGTGGGGAATTAATCCAAAAATCGTCCCCTCACGATGTTTTGACTATTTGGGGATACTCCTCCTGTAGAGGGACATGCCCGACTTGACACATGGGCAGAAAATCGTCCGTCGAGCACACGGGCCACCTCGCCTGGAGCCCGATAGGCCCCATGGAGGCACGCCAAAAAAACGAGGGCCACAACTCCAAGGTTGGGGGCCCAAGCGAGAAGAGCAGCAGGGCACCCTGCCACGAAGCCAGGAGGAGGAGAAATTCGGACGAGGCTCAATCTGACGGGGCCCACTAACACACAAATCAATACACAAATCCCAGGATCCTCCACATTTTCATAGATTTTCTGGGCTTCTATCTTCCCCCCCCCCCACTTCCCATATTCTCGCGGAATCGACGATGAATTGTGTCTGTGTGTTTTTGTTCCCCAGGCGCTGCGGCCTTCTCGGAGCGTTCTGGAACGCTCTGAGAGCGTTCCGAAGCACCCTGGAACGGATTCATGCTCGTCCTAGCCCCGTCCGAGGTACCCCTCTCACACTACTTGAGGCTGTTCTTCACCCTCGTTCCAGCTGCAGCGGAATGGCAATGAAGAGCGCGCCAGGTGGGTGTAGCATCCGCGGGGCTAGGCGGGGGGCAGGAGAAGCAGGTAGGCACGCGGGAGAGAGAGAGAGAGAGCGAGGAGACTCACGGCGGCAGCGTCGGCGTGTGTGCTCTGAGCATCGTGTCACCCATCCCTACAGTGCGACCAGATCATCAGGATGTGCGGCAAGGATGCAAGGCCCTTTGGACGCCCAAGCTGACGCCGAAGGTTGAAGCCCATGGCCCAGAGCTGAGGGCTAGGGTGGACCGCGGGGGAAGGAGGCGAGGGTACCCTCGGAAGGTTGCTGGTCCTCATACTGCGGCTTGGCCGTATCCCCACAGGCGTGGCCTGGGCCCCACGGGCCAGCTTCAGCCCCCAGAGGGGGGCACACGCTATGCCTTCCGGGACTCGCGGGGCGTCGTCCCCAACTGGGGTGGTGGGATGGTGGTGGTTGGGATGGAGATGGGGATAATTATCGTCGAAATCCCCAACTGGGGTGGCGGAATCATCCCGAACTGGGGATGGGGTCTCGAGGGGCCTGACCCCCAACTGGGGTGGTGGGATGGTGGTGGGATGGTGGTGGTCGAGATGGGGATGGGGAGACGATACGGAGGCTTGGGGCCCAGGGCAGGGTGAGACCACTCAGCGCGGGGAGCACGGGCCCCGAGGAGAACGGGTCCTGGACCCTGGGGCCGAGCCCCAGGGCGAGGTTCTCGTGCTGGTTCGTCTTCTGCCCGTCCCGGTCACCTGGAAGGCCCCGAGAGCCCGAAAACGGCAAAACCTCAAGACCCGTGTCCCGCAGGACCCGCTTCTCAAGCAGGGGACAAGGATCGACTGCAGAATTGATTTACCTCAGAAGTCCCCTTCCCGTCGAATCTACGAGCGAAGGCGTCGAATGATTCCTAGAGCACTACCGAGCATTCTGCGCATGTTATTCGCAGACTCTACGAAAAAAGTCTGGGGTAAGTCAACTCTGTGGTCGACTCCCTACAGTCGAGAATATGATCAAGAAAGGTATAAGTTCATATTCTCAGCTGTAGGGGGTCGACCACAGAGTTGATTTACCCCAGAACTCTTCTGTAGAGCCTACGAACAAAATACGGTACCATTTAAGAAATGTATCATTTAAGATGATCCGGAAAGGTATCATTTCAGAAGAAACGTGGGCCAGCTTCCTGGACGTGTCGTCTTCTTGGAACAAGCCTGGGCCAGCTTCTGCTTTTCACGCTGGAGGGGCGAACGCGCTCGGGAAACTGGGCCGGCGTTCCGGCAAGTCGGCCAAGAAACGCTGGCCCTGCCTTTCGGAAGGAAGTTTCTCATCGGCGGCGCGCGAGGCAGGGAAGTGAGAAGGGGCGGGCCTCCTCCGAAGGCTCGGAAGTCCCCCGGCCCTCTGAGAAGTTGTCCGAGCCCTCCCCGAGGACGGAAGGAGAAACCACTCGGAAGGCGCCAGGGCTTCCGGGAAGTCCCGCCGCCTTCTGAGAAGGCCTGCTCCTTCTCGCTTGCCCCCCCCTCGCTTAACGGGCGAAAAACGGTAGAAAATAAACTTTTTCGCCGTCGGGGACACCTGCCCCAGGGCGGCTGGAAAGTTTATACCCTTACGGTGGCACCGTAGGGGTATAAACCTTCCAGCCGCCCAGGGGCAGGTGTCCCCGACGGCGAAAAAGTTTATTTTCTACCGTTTTTCGCTCGCTGACTCGCGCGCCGCCGATCTCCATCAGATGCTCGCCGCGTACTCCCGCGCGCCGGGGGGCACGCCCGCCCGCAGGCGGCGGAGCGCAGCCGAGGGGGCAGGCGGGAGGCGGTGCCCCGGCCTCGGGCTCCTCGGGGTCGTGGTCCGGGAGGTGGTGCTGCATCGCCCCCGCGTCCTGGTCGCTGTTTGTTGTTCTTTCTCTCCGTGCGCACATGGCCGAGAGGGGGCTGCTGCACTTTCACCGCCTGTCGCAACGGCCACCAGGGGGGGGGGTGCTCCCGGCAGTTTCTGCGCCCCCCATTCGTCCTCCTCCTGCTCCTCCTCCTTTTCCTCCTCCTCCTCCTCCTCCTCCTCCTCCTCCTCCTCCTCCTCCTCCTCCTCCTCCGTCTCCTCCTGGTGGCTAGCCGCTCCGAGTTCTGAGTTCACATGTCGTTCAATGTTATGCTTGCCTTCCTACTATAACAACAAATACAATCAAGAAACGTATTCATCTTAGAAGTCCAGACCAGCTTCCCAGAAGTTTCTTAGAGCAAGCCTGCGCCAACCTCTGTTGTCAACGGGGTGCTCGCGAAACTGGGCCAGCGTTCTGGCAAGTTAGTCCAGAAACGGCCAAGCTTTTCGGGGGAAGGTTTCTCAGTCTGATGCTCGACTGCACACAATTCGTTTACCCCAAAATTGATGTTTGTTCGTCGGATCTGCGGAAAAAAACACACCCAGAATGTCTGCACACATACGCAACATCCTATTTTGTTCTGTTCGTCGATTCGGCGGAACATGAAATTCTGGGGTCAATCCGCCGACCCTGTCGGCGTGTGGAAGAGGCTTCTCCGTCTGCTCCCTCTTCGTCGTCGTCGATGTTCCTTCTTCTTTCCCCACAGCGTCGTTGCTTCTACCCCTCTCCCAAGGCCGTCGTACTTGAGTCGAAGGGAAGCCCCTTCCCTTTGATCCCTTCCCGGGGAAGGGGGGGGGGGGCTTGTCCTGGGGTAGCTCCCGGGGGGGGTCCCGGGTTTATACGCCGCCCCCCGGGGAATCCCCGAGTCCAAAAAGGCCCCAAGACCGGCCAAGAGTGCCCCAAGAGGCCCCCAAGATGATCCAAGAGGGCCCCGAATCGCCGAATGATCTGTCCAAGACGCCTTGACGGCCTCCAGACGGCCCAAGAAGCATGCGAGACGCCCCAAGAGGCCTCCAGGACCGTTCCCACGAGAGCCCCAAGAGGCACAAATCATGGATTTCCCATGCGTTTTTCAAGGATTTTGGCGTTCTCGCCTCTCCCGCTTCCCCACGCGCCAAGACGGCCCAAGAGGCTCCCAAGATCGCCCCGACACGGCCCAAGAGGCCTCCAAGAGGGTCCCCAAACGGCCCAAAAGTGCCCCAAGACGGCCCAAGACGCCTCCCAGATGCACAAAAGGCCCCCAAAACGGTTCCAAGAGAGTGCCCAGACGGGGGAACCGAACGGACATTTCGAGCCCTCAGCCCCGAGAAGCTCCCAAGAGGCCCCCCAGGAAGCCCAAAGAGGCCCCAAGAGGCCCCCGAGAGGCCCCAAAAAAGCTCCTAGGAAGCTACAAAAACAAACTAGAAGCCGCCGACAGAACACCACCCCACACCACACAGACAGAACGCTGTTATTTCTCCCCAGTGACAGAACGCTGTCTCCAGGGTTGGCGGCATCGGCCGTAAGGCCTTCGCAATACATTCTGTGCAGTCGATCCCCTACTCGACCGACTGAAATCGACCTAACTCGCCTCGAAGCCTCGCGAGCCACCACGTAAACTCAAACGACGAGAGGCATGCCCGGAATAATCGGGGGGCACATGGCAGAGGACGCAAGAGAGGGCCGGCAAGATGCGAGTTTCGCCCCATCGTGTCACCGCCCCCTCGTCCTGGTCTGCTCGCTGGTCCTCGGGATCCCACTCGGGGGGGGGGGAGGCGAGCGGGCAGCAGAAGCGGCGTCCAAGCACGGCCGAAAATGCCATCGAGAGACTCATACCTTCAGATCTGGGCCAGCTTCCATGAAGCTTCTCAACCCAAGCTCGGGCCAGTTGCTGCTGCCAACGCTGGGAGGGCGAACGTGTTCAGAAAGCCGGGCCAGCTTCCCGGCGAGAGCTGGCTGCGAAGCACCGGTCCAGCTGCCCACAAGGAGGTTCCTTAACCCGATGCCGACTGCACAGGAACACCGACCGCAGCAGAAGAGTATGGAGCGGAGCGCGCCGCAGGCGGACTCCGTTCGGATTCGGGGAGACGTAGGACGCGGGGTCGGGGGTGAGATTGGACGCCCACTCCTGCTGCAAACATCCCACGAGACCTGGACCGTCCAACTCCAGGACGCGCTCGTCAAAAAGCGCCGGCAAACCCAGGTACCAGCGTGTGCTCGAGTCTCACGTTTGGCGGCGAGCGAGGGGGAGAAGTGAAAAGGAGAAGGAGAAGGCCTTCTCAGAAGGCTCGGAAGCCCCCCGGGGCGCACTCGAGTCTCACGTTTGGCGTCGAGCGAAGGGGAGAAGTGAGAAAAAGAAGGCCATCTCAAAACTCGGAAGCCCCCCGGCCTTCTGAGAAGTTTTCTGAGCCTTCCCCGAAGGCAGAAAAAACCTCCCAGAAGGCGCGAGGGTTTCTGAGAAGTCCCACCGCCTTCTGAGAAGGCCTTCTCCTTCTCACTTCCCCCCCTCGCTCGCCGCAGAGTTAGACGAGGCCAGGGCGAGGACGAATCCGGGCGGGGACACATCGAGAACCTTTAAGATCTGGCGGCTCTGGAGGATTCATCGGGCACCGCGGACTTCTCAGAGCCTTCCAGAACGCCCTGAGGGCGTTCCAGACAGCCCTGGAACGGAGCTATCCTCGTCCTAGCCCCGGCCGATGCTTCGAGTAGGGGATCGACTACAGCATTAATTTACCCCCAAATTGGTTGTTGCATCGAATATACGAGACGAAACAAAAAAAACACTATACATATGTATATATACACACACATACACATATATAAGAAAACAAAGAAACAAAAAAACACAACCAAAAACAAAAACACTTAAAAAGAACAAAAAGCGCATCATGCTACGTAGATGAACTGACAGTCTAGATCTGCTTCATAGATCCGACGGGAAAATCGGGGGTGAACCACCAAATTTGCAGTCGATCCCCTACTCGAATGTTGGCCCCCTCTGCCTCTGCATCTCGCCCCCCTCTGCATCTGCCTCTGCATCTCGTCTGTTTTGCGGGCCCAGGCCGCTTGTGTGTGTGTGCACGGTCTAGGCCTGCAGACTGGCCCTCGGGATCCCACCAGGGGGGGGGATCGGGAACGGCAGCGAAAGGGAGATGGGGAGGGGCACGTCGCGACGGCGAGGAAGATGAGCAGGAACAGGAGGGGGAGGTACAGACAGGACATGATTGAAAGGAGGAGAAGGAGAAGGAGGAGGAGGAGGAGGACGACGACGACGATGACTAGAAGAGCAGGAAGAGACGTAAGAGGAGGAGGAATAAGAGGAGTACGCGGCCCCCCCCCCGCAATTGCGGGTCAGAGTGAGGGGGCGGCGGGGACGTCGGCAGTCTGCGAGGCTCTGAAGAAGCCCGCCGCAGGCGCCGAAATCATACAATTTATGCAACGAGTCCGTCGCAGGCGCCGAGTTTTTCGTCAAAGCAACGTGGGTCGGTCGAGGGTGGGTCTCGAGTGGGTCGCGGGTGGGTCGCGGGCGGGTCGCGGGCGGGTCGTGGGTGGGTCACGGACGGGTCGCGGGGTGGACCTGAGTTTTGGGCCAGAGGCTTCGTGGGTACCTGTACCGCGCGGGGCGAGTTTTGAAGTTCCTCGGGGCCTCTTGGGGGCCGTTTCGGGGCCTCTTTGGGGGCCCTTGGGGGTCTCGTGGGGGCCTGCTGGCGCCCTCCGGGGTCCACTTGGGGCGGAGGGCTCAAAATGTGAGCTCGGGTTCCCCCTCGTGGGCCTCTCTTGGGGCCCTCTTGGGCCGTCTTGGGCACACCTTGGGCCGCCTTGGGGCTCTCTGGGGCCGTCTTGGGGCCCTCCTGGGAGCTTCTTGGACCGTCTTGGGGTGATCTTCGTGGACGCCGTGAAGATTCAAAAAGCGAATATCCTGAAAATCCACGTTCTCTTTGGGGAATGCGGCAATGTGGGCCCTCCGGGAGCGTTTTTGGGCAGCATTCTTGGAAGCTTTTTGGGGTCTCTTGGGGGCCTCTAGGGCCGTCTGGAGGCCATCTCGGAACGTCTTGGGCCCTGGTGCCCCGCTCTCGTCGCGTATCCGTGCTCCCCAGAAGGTGCTTGGGCCGGCCAGGGCGGCCAGGGGGCGGCCCAGGAGGCCCCCGAGGGAAGGTGCCCAAAGAGGGGGGGAGGGGGAGGGGTGGGGGGGGGGCTGTGCGAGCACAGCCCGCCTTTTCAATGAGAGGAGCATCCTCTGGCGCTCACTCTCAATCCACCCCTCGCGCGGTTGACAGGGCTGGTCTGGGGCGCATGCATTAGAACCCCCAAGGGCTGGAGGTGCGGGTCGGGATTCCACCGGTGAGGAGGAGGGTTTGAGGGGGCCCTGGGCTGGGGTAACAGAGTGGGGCTCTGGCCAGCAGAAGCACCCTTTCTTTCATTTCCGACTCGGGTCTTCAGGCCCAGACATGCTGCGTAGTGGACCAGCAGCTGCAGCCGAAGACAAACATCGATTGCACAGGACTGGGAACGAGCCCACCTTGCTGACTCGACGAATGGCAAATCGCTGAGCGGTGCTGCAACCTCTCCAAAGATTTGGCGTCGTGAATGATACACTCAGCCCGCATGGTAAGGATAAGCGACTCTCCAAGGCTATCCTTGCATCGTTCCCCTCCGGCCCATCCTTGGCCGCTTTCGCTGGCCGCGCCCCGCTCCCAAAATGTCGGCATGGCCTTCCAAGGCCCTCACATCCTTATCGTGCGTCCTTCCTGTACGGGTTGACCGTGTCCGGACACAGCAGAACACAGCAGAAAAATGTCTCGACCAAGAGTCGGAAAGATCAGTGGGGGTCCTGGGGCCCCCGGCGGGCCGACGACGCCCGTCCTCATTTCCTCCTCCTCCTCCTCCTCCTCCTCCTCGTCCTCCTCGTCCTCCTCCTCCCTCTCCTCCTCCTCCTCCTCCTCCTCCTCCCCCTCCTCCAACTCCTCCTCCTGCTCCCTCCCCCTCCCAGAGAGGAAGGAGGACGAGGGGGAACACAGAGGAGCCCGGGGGATGGCCCGTCCTGGGCAGCCGAGGGGGCGCTGCCAGCCGGCGGCTCAATGGCGCCGTCGAAGCGCGCGTAGAGGAAGTCGTCCGCGGCGCGCAGCCGACGGTCCAGGTCGCAGAGGAGGACGTGCCCGTCCTGTCGCCGACGCCCCCTCCTCCAAGACCTCGCCGTCGTCGTCCTCGTCATCATCGCCACCGCAGTCGGCATCACTGGCATCATCAGCAGCAGCACCACCACCACCATCATCACCACTGCTAGCATCACCATCAGCATCATCATCCATCACCATCCGTCACCATTCGCCATCATGATTACCATTATTCATAATCCACCTTGCATCGCTCATCGCCCCCATTCACCAGCACCAATCACCAACAACCAATCATTATTCATCATCATCATCATAATCAGCAGCATCAGCATCATCATCATCATCATCATCATCATCATCATCATCATCATCATCATCATGAGCATCATCATCATCAGCATCATCATCGGCAGCATCAGCATCAGTATCAGCATCTGCATCAGCATCATCATCATCATCAACATCATCACACAGCCTCATCATCATCAGCAGCATCATCCTCATCGTCATCCTCATCATCATCACCACCAGTATCAGCATCACCATCATCATCATCATCATCAGCAGCATCATCATCACCGTCATCAGCATCAAGCTCTTCCTGCTCTTCCTCCTCCTCCTCGTCATCGTCATCGTCATCGTCGTCATCGTCATCGTCATCGTCAACATCATCATCAACCATTCATCGCTCATCATCCTCGTCCACCATTTACAACTAATCGTCGTCATCAGATCATCATCAGCATCAACATCATCACCATAATCATCACCATACTCCTCCTCCTCTTCCTCCTCCTCCTCGTCATCGCCGTCATCGCCATCCTCATCGTCCACATCATCTTCCATCCTCCATCATCATCATCATCGTCATCATCTCGTCGTCGCCCGCCCAATGTCTTGTGCCGAGGGGGGAGGGAGAGGAGCAGCAGCATGGCAACGACCTTCTCCTCCCCGCAGCCTTTTGGATCAGGCCCTCGCCCGACAGGAGCAGCGGCCATTGTGGACTGCAGGCCTGGCGCGTTAGAACACATCCACCTCGGAGGAAAAGTGCATCCATCACACATGTGCAAATCTCTACAGTCGAACTAAGGACAGAAGAACGTCCTTCAAGAACATGGGACCCTCCGCCGTCCCAAACACACAGAACATCCAAGGGTACCCTCGCCAGGATGCACAAGAGCATCCAGCATACACGAAGAACACCAGGGCACCATCCCCGAACAAATCTCGATCTTATACCCCGGTCTGATGTATGGCCCAGCACCAGATGGGCACCCCAGCGAAGGGGCACCCACTCTGCCTCGCCAGCGTCCGCGGCGACGCATGCGCAGGAATGCCTCTGACGCACATGAAGGACCTCTGGCGCGCGGCCTGCGGGGGCCGCCGGGCGGCCGTCACTCGCCGGGGATGTACTCACCCGGGTGAGTCGGGCTCTGCAGGGTCCATGCAGGATCCTGCAGGGTCCTGCAGGATCCTGCAGGAATCCTGCACCCAAAGACACATGGCAATGCCTGCAAGATGCGGCGCTCCGGCTGACCCCCGTCTGCATGGACTCCCGCCTCTCGAGCCCCGGACTCGCGCGCGCAGGCCAAGGCTGGGGGGGACACCTTTGGACCCAAACCCCTCCTCCGACGTTGGAGCTTTTCGAGACGCCGGCCTCCAGGGCTTCGACCACGTCCCTCGGCTGCACGCAGGAGTGGCCCTGGGCAGGAGTGACCTCGGGTGCGCGACGTTCGGGGGCCGCGGGGAGGCCACATCGGAGCGCGCGAGCCGCTGGCATCGCATCGCATGTAGCCGTCTGGGGACCCCAATGTGCTTGGGGATCTTCTGGCCCGGGTCAATCCAGGCCCCGGTCAGTCAGGCCTTGCAGGATCCTGCAAGATCCTGCAGGATCCTGCACCCAAACCCGGGTCAATGCGAAGGGTCCTGCAAGATCCTGCACCCAAACCCGGGTCAGTGCGACCCTGGCCCCTGCAGGATTCTGCAAGATCGGGCGACCTGGCTGACCCCCGTCTCAAGGCTCCCGAACTCTTACGTACAGCCCATTCCCGGGGCCAGATGCTAATCCTGTTTCGTTTTCTGACGGTGCCGCGGCGAGGGAAACACGGCCTCCAGAGGTCAAAGAGGCCACTGCAGACGGGCCGTCGCGTGTTTGGGCGCGTCGCCCAGCTTCGTGGGGCACGTCGCTCTGCGCGGAGCCAACATCCACCCTCCTGGAGGTCCGATGTCCTGACTCTGCCCATGGAGGGGGTCCCAGGCAAGCCCGACCCTGGCACCAGGGCCGGCTTTTCAACTTGAGGTGGGTCTGATGCTCCTGGAGCGCAGGCAGGTCCGAGAGGCCAAAAGCTAAGAAAAAGCATCATGCCAATCTTTCCAGTGCGTTGGAAGCCTGGCTTTCGGATCATTACTCGGGTCTCTGGCGGCCAATCGGGACGACCTGGGGGCCCACGGAACGCTCTCGGCGAGGCGCAATTGCAGGAAGGCATCCCGAGGCTAGAAAAACTCCCAAACCCGACGGACCTGCCCGAAGATTGAAGAGCGCCGAAACAACGCGAAGACTGGAGCGAGCGGCCACATGGCCTTCCCGCGTCTGAGGGGGAAACGTGAGGGGGGGGACCAGGTCCAGTTTTCTTTTACCGTAAACACCGACGACGCTACGATTCGAAAGCGAAGCGGATCACCGCAGCAGGGCTGCGCCACCACGTGCAATTGAGGAACGGCGTCAGGGTAGCTAGCGCGGGACACCACCCAAGGAAGAGGGAACAGAGGGAGGAGGACGAGGCGGGGGAGCAAAGGGGCGAGGGCGCTGTGCGACGTTCCCCTGCCGCTAACAACGTCAAGGGGGACCAGGTCAAGGGGGGGAACTTCGCCCCGGCACCAGCGCTACAGCAACGATGGATCGGCGATGAGCCCCCGATGGCAAGCCAGCACGGTCCTGGGCGGGACGGGCTCCCAGGCCCCTTACTGGCAACGAGTGGACAATTGGGGGTCGATGATTTCCCTCCTGAGCCTACTGAGGAGGCAAGCCCCAAAAGAAACCTTCCACAAGCAACCCCAACCCTGAGACCCCAGAACGTCCATTGATTTCTGGTGTGGGAACGTCACGCTTTCCACAGCAAAACCGTCGAAACCCCAGAAGCCCAGGGCACCAGGGCACCCAGGGCACCAGGGCACCCTAGAGGCGAGCAGGGTGTTTCTTGGCATGGGCCCCCACTGTATCCCGCCCCCAACGTTCCCGCATGAGCGCGGAACGTCTCCGCTGGCCGAGCGGCCACATGGCCAAAGGGGTCCTGCAGCGCCTCCCCACCTAGGCGGAGCCGCTCCACATCCGCGCCAAGCACCTTCTCCGCGATGGTCTGCGGCACGGCGGCCCCCTCCTCCTCCTCCTCCTCCTCCTCCTCCTCTTCCTCCTCCTCCTCCTCCTCCTCCTCCTCCTCCTCCTCCTGCTTGAAAAGCGAGCTGCGACGCGCAAGGACCATACGAAGCTCTACAGGACCACAGGGGCTTGGTCCTTGCGCGTCGGGTGTTGGGACCTTGCGCGTCGGGTGTGTTGTCCTTGCGCGTGGGGTGTTTGTGCCCTACTCGTCTGGGCTTGGGCTTTGTGTTGGTGTTCTGGATTTGGGATGCTGGGTTGGAGAGGTCCTGGTCGGGAGGCCGCGGCGAGCGCTGGGGCCCTACAACCCCCCACCCCCGAGAAAAAACGAGCATGCACAGTATTGCGTTGAATCCCAGACCAGGAAAAACAACAAAACCAAACAAGCACGGAGTTCCGTGCCCTCTCTTCTGATCTGGACAGCAACGAAACGCTGCGTATGTTTGGTTATGTCTGGTTGTTGTGTATTTCGGTGTTGGAGGTTCAGAAAGAATGGAGCTGGGCGGGACGCCGCGGCAATCACTGTCGCTTCCCCTCCCCCACACCCCACCCGCCCAAAAAACAAACGCAGCGTTTCGTTGATTCCCAGACCACCACCACCCCAAAAAAACTGCATGTCGTGGCGCCGATCAAAAAAAACGGCCGCTTGCGCACACGATGGCCGTGACGGTTGGGCAGAGCGGGTGAATGAGTTGTGCAAGCTGTGAATAATACAAACGATTATTCGGATTCGCTCGTTGGGCGCTTTGGGGGATCGCTGAGCGGGTAACGTCCCTATATATATATAGTCATAAAGCTATATCGAGAAAGCTGCTTGTATGGTGTAAGTGTCGGTACGAATACCCGTCTCCAGATGTATACATCCATGTTGATGGAAAAAAAAAAAAAACAAAAAAAAAAAAAAAAAAAAAAATGTGCGAATAGTTACACATACACGCTTGTAAATATACCAAGTATATAATGATACACTTGTACATGTATGTGTATACAGACGTGTTACCACGATATGTAATGAGTAAAAGATGTACACACGTATGTATGCATTCGTATGTGTAAATAACGCTGCCTTCTAAATATATGCATGGATATATGTATACGGGAATGCATGTGTAACGCAGGTGCGCCTATATACATATATATACAAAATGTGCGTGCATGTGTATACACGTATGTGTATATATGCGTATATATGTACAAGCATGCGTATACATATGCATGCAAATAAACATAGGTTGTATATATATAGTCGATACATGCCCCGTGAAACCACATCCGAAACCCGCCCAGCAAATCCACAGTGGTCGGACCACGCCACCAGAGTACCCCAAAGAGCCCCATGAAGGCCCCAAATGGCTCTGGAGGCCCAAACTCCCTCTGCATTGTGCCTTCAACAAGCCTCTTCAAGCGCCTTCGGGGCCCCAATAGATGTGTCACAGACGGGCCGAAGTGCACCCAAAACCTCTTAAGATGGCCTCATGATGGCCTATAAGACGCCCCCAAGAAGTCTCCAAAACGCCCCACAAGGCCTCTAAGAGGTTCTTCAGGAACACCCGGAAAAACGGAAATCTGTGATTACCGCTTGGCTTTTTGAAGATTTTGCACTTTCCTTTTCCCCCACATGTTTCGTGGGGTTCTGGTTTTCTTCCCTGCCGCGCCGCACCCGCGTCTCCTCACACCTCCCCTCCTCTCTCTTTCTTCCTCCCCTCACTCACACACACACACACACACACACTTCACTCTTCCCCCCTCGTCACAGCACTACTCAGCTCAGCTCAACTCACCCCAGCACAGCACAGCACAGCTCAGCTCAGCTCAGCACAGCACAGCTCTGCCCAGCTCAGCACAGCTCAGCACAGCCCAGCACGGCTCAGCTCAGCACAACACAGCACAGCTCGTGGCACTTTCTCGACACCACAGGGGGTGCGCAGGGGTTGGTCTCTCAGCTCGGCCGCTATCCACGACACTGGCGCAAAGCCTAGCAGGCGTGGCACTCTCTCGACACCAAAGGGGGTGGGCAGAGGGGGTGGTCTCTCAGCTCGGCCGCTATCCACGACACTGGCGCAGAGCCTAGCAGGCGTGGCACTTTCTCCACACCACAGGGGGTGCGGAGGGGCTGGTCTCTCACCGCGGTCCCTATCCACGACACTGGCGCAAAGCCTAGCAGGCGTGGCACTCTCTCGACACCAAAGGGGGTGCGCAGGGGGTGGTCTCTCAGCTCGGCCGCTATCCACGACACTGGCGCAAAGACTAGCAGGCGTGGCACTTTCTCTACACCACAGGGGGTGCGCAGGGGGTGGTCTCTCAGCTCGGCCGCTATCCACGACACTGGCGCAAAGCCTAGCAGGCGTGGCACTGTCTCGACACCGCAGGGGGTGCGGAGGGGGTGGTCTCTCAGCTCGGCCGCTATCCACGACACTGGCGCAAAGCCTAGCAAGCGTGGCACTTTCTCGACACCACAGTGCGCAGGGGGTGGTCTCTCAGCTCGGTCGCTATCCACGACACTGTCGCAAAGCCTAGCAGGCGTGGCACTTTCTCGACACCACAGGGGGTGCGCAGGGAGTGGTCTCTCAGCTCGGCCGCTATCCACGACAATGGCGCAAAGGCTAGCAGGTGTGGCACTCTCTCGACACCACAGGGGGTGCGCAGGGGGTGGTCTTTCAGCTCGGCCGCTATCCACGACACTGTCGCAAAGCCTAGCAGGCGTGGCACTTTCTCGACACCACCGGGGGTGCGCAGGGGGTGTCTCTCAGCTGTCGGTCGCTATCCACGGACACTGTCGCAAAAGCCTAGCAGGGTAGGGCGTGGCACTTTCTCGGACACCACAGGGGGTGCGCAGGGGGTGATATCTCAGCTCGGCCGCTATCCACGACACTGGGCATACAAGCACAGCAGGCGTGGGCACTTTCTCGGACACCACAGGGGGTGCCAGGGGGTGGTCTTCTAGTTCGGTCGCTATCCACGACATTGTCGCGAAGCCTAGCACGCGTGGCACTTTCTCGACACCACAGGGGGTGGGCAGGGGGTGGTCTCTCAGCCCGGCCGCTATCCACGACACTGGCGCAAAGCCTAGCAGGCGTGGCACTTTCTCGACACCACAGGGGGTGCGCAGGGGGCGGCCTCTCAGCTCGGCCGCTATCCACGACACTGGCGCAAAAGCCTAGCAGGCGTGGCACTTTCTCGACACCACAGGGGGTGCGCAGGGGGTGGTCTCTCAGCTCGGTCGCTATCCACGACACTGGCGCAAAGCCTAACAGGCGTGGCACTTTCTCGACACCACAGGGGGTGCGCAGAGGGGTGGTCTCTCAGCTCGGCCGCTACCCACGACACTGGCGCAAAGGCTAGCAGGCGTGGCACTGTCTCGGCACCACAGGGGGTGCGCAGGGGGTGGTCTCTCAGCTCGGCCGCCATCCGCGACACTGGCGCACAGCCTTGCAGGCGTGGCACTCTCTCGACACCAAAGGGGGTGGGCAGGGGGTGGTCTCTCAGCTCGGCCGCTATCCACGACACTGGCGCAAAGGCTAGCAGGCGTGGCACCCTCTCGGCACCAAAGGGGGTGGGCAGGGGGTGGTCTCTCAGCTCGGCCGCTATCCACGACACTGGCGCAAAGCCTAGCAGGCGTGGCACTTTCTCGACACCACAGGGGGTGCGCAGGGGGTGGTCTCTCACCGCGGTCCCTATCCACGACACTGGCGCAAAGCCTAGCAGGCGTGGCACTTTCTCGACACCACAGGGGGTGCGCAGGGGGTGGTCTCTCAGCTCGGCCGCTATCCACGACACTGGCGCAAAGGCTAGCAGGCGTGGCACTTTCTCGACACCACAGGGGGTGCGCAGGGGGTGGTCTCTCAGCTCGGTCGCTATCCACGACACTGGCGCAAAGCCTAGCAGGCGTGGCACTTTCTCGACACCACAGGGGGTGCGCAGGGGGTGGTCTTTCAGCTCGGCCGCTATCCACGACACTGGCGCAAAAGGCCTAGCAGGCGTGGCACTTTCGCGACACCACAGGGGGTGCGCAGGGGGTGGTCTCTCAGCTCGGCCGCCATCCACGACACTGGCGCAAAGCCTAGCAGGCGTGGCACTTTCTCGACACCAAAGGGGGTGGGCAGGGGGTGGTCTCTCAGCTCGGCCGCTATCCACGACACTGGCGCAAAGCTTTGCAGCCGTGGCACTTTCTCGACACCACAGGGGGTCTCTGAGCGCGGCCGCCACCCACGACACTGTTGCAAAGCTTAGCAGGCGTGGCACTCTCCCGGGACTATAGGGCCAGCGCAGGGGGTGATCTCTTGGTGCAGCGATTATCCACCGCATTGCGCGTGAGAGATTGCGTCTTACCCTGATCCGCAAACATCGCGGCTCAAGCCGGCGCGGCACGACTGCGCATTTACGCAAGTTTGTCTGTGCTCCAACTTGCGGGCAACAACCGCCCGGCCTACGCGCGGCAGCAATGCCGCCCAAAATTGACATTGGGCGGCTGCCGCCTCCATGCGTGAAGCTGAAGAACGCACTGACTGAAATGGGCGACGATGTAAGCCTGGAAGGCTTGCGTGGCTGCGAGGGGCCTCTGATAAGAAACGCATTCGATGCCTATATAACCGTCAACTGAAGAATTGGTGGCCCGAGACGCTTTGCATGAGGTATAACGAGTTGCCGCATCCAGGTACGAACGACGATAGCAGGAGGAGGCAATGCCTGGTGGCATACTTGCTAAACCCTGCGTCCGGCGGGTTCCCGGCTGATCAGCCGGGGGGCAGTGCGAAGGATGGCGATGGCTCGCCGTTGGCGAAAGTTCGGCGGGTCGGCAACGCCGGCAACGGGGGCGTTGCCACGCCCGCGCAGGACACGCCTATCAAGTGCACGCCCATGCAGGCCTTCACTCCTCAGCGGTCCCCAGCACTTCTGCTTGCTACCTCTGTTCGTTCCACGGGTACCCCTCGCATTCAGCTGTCCCTTGAGCTGGCTCAGACGGACCGCCGTTGGACAGAAGTA